AAGGAAAGGAAAGGAAAGGAAAGGAAAGGAAAGGAAAGGAAAGGAAAGGAAAGGAAAGGAAAGGAAAGGAAAGGAAAGGAAAGGAAAGGAAAGGAAATAGAAGCTCTGCTGGCTTCAGTTCCATGGAGGCCCAGTAGAACTCAGCGGTGAATCCATTTGGATCCACCAACGCTTTTGTTCACTGAGAGAATTTTTATTATTGCTTCTATCTTATGCTTGTCATAAGTCTATTTAAATTGTTTATCTCATCTTGGTTTAACTTAGGGAGATCACGTGTGCCAAAAAAGTTCATCCATTTCTTTTAATACAAGTTTTTAAGATTTATTCTTATAGTTTCCTAAATTTTATTGGCATCTGTTGTAATGTCTCCCTCTTCAGCTCCAGTATGACTAATTGGGGTCTTCTCTCTGTTTCTTTTGGTTAATTTGGAATATCATTTTTTTATCTGACTTACCTTTTCAAAGAATGAATTATTTGTTTCATCAACTTTTTATTGTGTTTTTCCCATTCCTATTTCACTGGTTTCTGCCCTGATATTAACTATTTCCTTCCTTCTACAGATAGGTTTGACTGGATCTTGCTTTCCTGGCGCCTTAAGCTGTGTCCATCATCCTAAGACTCCGCCCTCACTCTAGAGGTAATGTCCTCATGCCACCTCCCAGAAAATAACCAGCGTGACCTGATGTTGAATTCCGAATTGAATAAAACTGAAGTTTAAAACGAAAGCCCCATAGTTATATTTGTTGTTTAAGTACAATTATGTTCAAGGTAACTATAAAGAAATATTTGTTTCTCCATAGTCACAGTTCAGTTATCTTCTAAGGGTCCTGGCGGCAGAAATGGATAATTGTCCACTACATTATCTATTCTTTTTGTTTCCATTCTAGAAATAAAAAAGAAAATTAGCCAGACACTTAACTGTACAGCACCAAACCACATTTCTTGGTCACCCTTCAAGCTAGCTGGGGTTGCATGATTAGATTCTGGCCAACAGGAGGGAAGAGAGAGAGACAGGACCCAGCCACACAACTTACTGTTCAGCCTTGGAAAGATCCCCCTCTCTTTCCTGCTTCTGCCTGTCCCTGGGGAAAGCACAGTGGATGGTAAAGCCCCCATCTTAGACCACAAGATGGAAGCCAAGAGCTGCACAAGGCCGAGCGAGAAAGAACCCAGGATGCCAGGGTCCATGTTCCCTCACAGTGATTGCACTTGAATAACTAAGACAGAAATAAGATTTCTTCTTATTGACCTATATTTCAGCCCTTGTCGTAGTGAAAACTCTGTAACTTAACAGAATTTTCCTCTAAAATCTGAAGTGACATTGGAGATGCCGTTGAGCACTATCTTTTTCTGTAATAGACTGTAACTTCCTATTGTAGTCACAGTTTCAGGATTGCAAAACCAATGAACAAGACGAAAGCCAAAGCAAAAATTTCAGGCAGTGTCCCGTGTAGAATGCTGCTTTGTGAGACTTTTGCTTGCTGGTTAGCTCTCTCTCCTCACTCTTCCTTGAACTCACTTCAGCGGGGTGCTTTCTCCCCACCCTTCCACCGAAATTACTTTTTTTCAGTATCAACAATGACGTCCATATAAGGAAATCCAGCGCTGGGCAGCCCTCCGGTCTGTCTGTCTGTCTGATGTCCTTGGACATTCTCTCTCCTTTGAGGGTCTTCTCTTTGTCTGCAGAGCTCCTCACTCCTCCCCTGCATTCCCCCATCCTTGCTGGCTGCTCTGTTGCGGTTTCTCTACCATCTCTCATACCAGGAGGAGCTCCCGATGGGTCTCAGACATCTCTTCTATCTAATTTTACACCCTTGGTGCTCTTAACCAGTCTCGTTGTTATTTATTAAGCGGCCCTGTTTATCATGCGAAAAAAGCCACGAGGTACAACAGAACCTACTGTGAGAGCTTATTAGGGGAAGAGGAACAGAAGGGATGTGCTTAGACCTGTGGATTCATGCAGGAAGAGAGGGGAGAGATAGATGGAACCCATGCGCATAGATTGCATGACCATGCTGCATGCAAATTACGTGATCACGCAGTGCACCGATTACATAGGACATAAGGCCCTGGAATGACTAAGCATCTTGCTTGGCTACTGGACGGCGCATGTGCGGTCATGGAGCTGGGGGAGTGGCTAGGAATGCTAACACTCAATAGCTTTCATTGTCCAGACACTGATATTCCACAATTTTATTTCCAGCCAACTAGAATGTGAACGTTTTGAGAACGGATCATCCTCTGCATCTGTTCTCGAGCCATCTTTAGCTTGTAAACAGTTTGGAACATACTGGCGCAGCAAATATGGCTACCTGCTAAATGAAAGCAGAAGTAACTAGACTCTGCTGGGCTTCTTAGCTAGTCCTTTCCAAGTGCCTAATATTTCCTTCCACCTTGCAAGGCCACAAGAATGCAAGGAAAATGCATACCCTTGCTTGTTGCTGGCGAGCTTCTCTCCAGGTTCCACCAATCCCCGCAGTCCTACAATCCATGTATAAAATAATCACTCAGACAGTTATATTACTTATAAACTATATGGCCATGGCAGGCTTCTTGCTAACTGTTCTTATATCTTAAATTAACCCATTTCTATAAATCTATACCTTGCCA